CAAAGGAGGTCCCATGATGTAGATACTCGCCCCGAGCTCTCATTACTCTTGATAGTGCATTGTCATTGTGCTGTAGGTCTTTTGGCATCCTCTGGTCTGACACCATTTGAGACGAGGCTCAAAAGAAAGCTGTCTCTGGTGTGGACCAATCAGTTGCAAGGACAATGCATATATTATCACAGTATATATTTTTTTGCATTATGACCACAAGCATTGTGGTTAATGCAGACATGATTCCTTGTAAAAGGTTTCAGTTTGGTGATTTAACATCTTAACACCTGTTTTGTTGCCAGAAAAAAGGGTAAAAACCTATTTTCATATTTTGGTAATGGTAAAGGAGGTCCCATGATGTAGATACTCACCCCGAGCTCTCATTACTCTGACAGTGCATTGTTTTTGGGCTGTACGCCTTTTGGCGTCCTCTGGTCTAGCACCGTTTGAGACGAGGCTCGAAAGAAAGCTGTCTCTGGTGTGGACCAATCAGTTTCAAGGACAATGCATATATTATCAGAGTATGTTTTTTGTTTGCATTCTGACCACAAGCATTGTGGTTAATGCAGACATGATTCCTTGTAAAAAGTTTCAGTTTGGTATTTTAACATTTTAACACCTTCCATGATAACATCATCAGGCTTGGGGTATTCCGCACCATCTGCACACTGCTGGCAATAATAGGAAAGCGTTTCCAAGATGCTGGACTCCGAGATCTCTGCATTCAGTCTGGAATGATTCTGATGTTATGGATGGCCGCAAGTACAACAGGGCAGTGCGACTCCACAAACACCTGTATGAGGCTGTCATGCGACTGACATGGAATGATTTCCTATCCTGGTTGGAAACAACTCACATGAACGATATGGTTCATTTGGATGAGACACTGAGGACCATTGACAACCTTGGGAAAGAAGTCTCACAAGCCGCTTTGAAGGAGGTCCTCGAGAACAGCTCATGTACACACATCATGGAACTGTTTGAAGTCTACCGCGAGTTCCTCAGTGGTGAAAATGGCAGCCTCTCGACCTTCTGGATGTCCTATTTGGAAATGGTTGAAATCTTGTTGAGGCTCATCCGAGCATCCAGAGAGGGAGACTGGATGCTACACTTGGCAAGCAATGTAACAATGATCCCATGGCGCTTCGCTTATGATAGGATTAATTATGCATGCTACCTCCCCTACTACTACGCCCAGATGTCTCAGCTGCCCATGACACACCCAGATGTGTACACGGAATTCATGGAAGGAGGCTTCTCAGTTCAACTGGGCTCCACCAATCCCTTTGGTCGAATCCCTGTTGTCCAAGCTTTTGAAGAAACGATAAACAAAGACACCCAGACAGCTGGAGGGACAAAGGGATTCAGCTTGAAGCCAGGAGCCGTGACCAAACAGTTGAGTACAGACACATGTACCTCAGACAGCTGAGATACCTGATAGGTCAAGGCAGGTCCAAACTGTCCCATCCAGATCTACAGGGTCCAAGGATCAAGAGAGATTAAGCAATGTCCAGTCTCTCATTGACCTCATGGAGAATAACTGGATCAATCCTATGTCCCCTGATGAGACAGATCTGGAGAGCCTCTCCACTCGCACCATGGCTCCACCTAATCAGGAATCTCTTGAGAGCTCTTGAGATAGGAGAAGAGGCCTACCAGGTATTGAAGCAAACAATGTTAGCTGAGGACCCACCATATGTGAAATTCCACGACAAGATGACCAAGCAAAGTCTAAAGACATTCTCCAATATCAGCACAAAAACAGCACATGGAAAGAAGGTACATGATGTGGTTCTGAAGGCAGATAGAAACCTGTTCAGCCAAATAATCCTGGTGGCTGAAAGCAGGAAGGTGAATATGAAGGATGTTACACTATGGGGACCTCATTTGCCAGTAAAAATATGATAATTGGTTCTTTACCCTTCTATCTGGCAACAATTATCATATTTTTACTGGCAAATGAGGTCCCCATAGTGTAGATGCTTGCCCCGAGCTCTCATACTCTGATGGTGCATTGTCCTTGAGTTGTGCGCCTTTTGGCGTCATCTGGTCCAACCCATATGAGACTAGGCTCGAAGGAAAGCTGTCTTGGGTGTGGACCAATCAACTTCAAGGACAGTGCACATTATCAGAGTTATGTTCTTTTGTTTGTATTATGACTGCAGGTATTGCGGTCTATGCAAACATGACTCCTTGCAAAAAGGTGTCAGTTTTGTTGCCAGATAGAAGGGTAAAGAACCAATTATCATGAAGGATGTTCTTGCCCACCCACTGGGCACACTGCCATGGGCACTGGCAAAAGCTGATGGGTCCCTACGAAAAACAAACAAGGCTGCACTTGCCAGAGAGCTTGAAAAAAATGTGTCTCCTGCAGAAGACATCTCAACCCCATCTACTTCCATCATTGATGGAAGTAGATGGGGTTATATCGACAGACTTCGATCAAAGATGCTGAACGACTTAACCGGGGTGCAGACACCACTCTCCAGTACAAGAACCTTGCAGGGGGACACGACGTCCAGCAGTGGAGAAAATTCCCGTGCAGTCCCTCCAACAAAACCAGTCTCATCAAGTGTCTGGTGGAAGAGTGGAAACTCCCACGATACAGAGATATGCTGCATGGCAAGGTGTTGCACATGACCTGTGAGGAAACCTGCTACAAGTTGACAGAAGATGAGTGTGAGGAAGTAGCAGAGATGCACTCCATGCATGACAAAGCTGACACCCGTCTGCTTCCGCATGCATTGCATGCAGCAAATGTGGGCTAAAAGGCAGTTATCATCACAGCGGAGGACACTGATGTCATGGTGCTTTGTCTTGGCTTCCAGAAGGACATCACCTGTCCCATCTACCAGAAGTGTGGGACAGAGAACCGCACACGGTTTGTCGATATCAGCAAACTGGCAAGGTCACTTGAAGACAGCATCTGTGACAGCCTAATTGGCTTACAGGCCTTCACAGGCTGCAACACTGTCAGTGCATTCGCTGGTCGAGGGAAGCTGAATGCCCTGAAGATGGTGAGAAAGGACACTTCCTGCCAAGAGACTTTTAGTCGACTGGGGCAGTTATGGAATGTGAGTGATGAGCTGTTACAGAAAATTGAGCAGTTCACCTGTCGCATGTATGTTGCTAATAGCAGCACTGGTGAACGAACTGCACTACCATCTCTTCTGCACCAAAAGGGGAGAAGTCGAGTCCAGCTAGCTGCCACCATGTAGAGACTGTCTCTTCATACATCTTCAACGAGCCAACTATCAGGCAGCAGTCTGGAAGTGCCGTCTGCAGGCTAACCCTGTGGTGAGCATGGATAGACAGACGATGATGGCAAGTTGGCCATTTACTGGATGCGCTCCCCACCCACACCAGATATGGTCTTGGAACTGCTAGCATGCAAGTGTGTGCGTTTATGCAAAATGACAAATTGCACGTGCCTGTCAAATTGACTGACATGCACAGACATGTGCAGGTTACAGACCTGCAGTAACCAAAAACTGCAAGATGATCCAGAACCTGACTTTGACTTCTGGGAGTCAGATGACGAGAAAGACGAGCAGTTTGATGAGTGACACAGGGTGGCGATTCTGAGAGTATTACTGTGGTAGTAGTATACATTTATGCACAGTGTGGTGATTCTGGACATGGTTACCCTTGTTAACACCATCTAAGTACGCACAGAGCTTGATAAAAATTATGTAACCTTCTTCACATATACCCATCACTAACTATATATATATGGGATGACATGTATCATTGACTAAGTATATGCGAATGTTAATGTTTATAATATTCAAGTAGTTCCTTACCTCACTATGGTATTCCTTATTATCCTGTGTTTTCATTGTGTACTTAAACCAATAAAGACCAGTTTGTGACCTAACTGGCTTTGGTCTAGGTAGTTTTTCAGTAATAATGCCCATTTTATTGTTCCAGACGCCTGTCATAGGGTATGGGTATAAAAGTCATGGTAACTACAACTAAGCTGCCACTCCGCAAACGTTATCATATCAGAATATGTCCCACACACATGGATGATTTAAAAAATAATTACGAGACTTTGCCACCTCAGGTGGAACCAATAAGTCATTTTTTTGGTCCAGGCCCATTGACTAAAAACTGGGAAAAGATTTTCTACATGCTCTTGTGAATATTTTCCATTCCTTACACCCTTTCCATTGTATTTGTTGATATCCATTTTTCTGATCCATATTTCAAAGTAGGCAATATGCATTCAAATACTTCCAAGCATAACGGATAATTGGAAAGCATTGCAGAATGCGGCATGTACACGATTATCCTCATGTAAATAAAAACATTACAATTAATGACAATGGTTGTTCAGTAACATACTGCAAAAACACGCGATCTAAACTGCCCACGGTTTCTCCCCTTTGTAATGTTTCAATGACAATAAGAATATACTAGCGTGAATTAGATTTTCAGCAGGGACAACACCTAATCTTTTTCTTTGTTTTCTATATACAACACATAGTTTCGATGTAATTTTAAATACAGATGTATGCATCTCCCTTCCTGCATGGGAACTCAATAAGTGCATTGTGCCTGCACAACAACTGGGAATGGTTATATATACAAAGACAAAGATCCCTCGTATAACCAATGACAGACTGTTGAGATAAGTACTGTTCGCGAGCAGCTATGAAGCCCGGCACGGCACACGAGAGAGTGGGTGGCCAGTACCACGCCCGGCCGCCTTCGTCTCCCCAGTGACGATGTTTACACATTGCGCCAGGTACTCATTTGAGGCCGAGCCATCCTAGGAGAGGCCCAGGACTGGTTTAGATAATCATCACTGGTTTTGGTGGCCGTGATCAGGAATCGAACTCGGGTCGCTGAGTTAGTAGCGCAGAGCGCTGCACAACTGCTCCTCCTATATATATACACACACATATATAACAATCAACAAGAGTCTAGTTAAAAAATACATCCATATATAACAAAATCATGCAGAAACATTAACACTGACCAAAGTCATCAATTATGGGACTCACCGAGGGATGTTCTGGCGGGAGTGGCATCTTTGTTGATCCAAAAGGACACCCATGACAGCACAACGATCAGTATGCAGGGGATGTACGTCTGAATGGTGAAATATCCCATTCTTCTCACCAAATCAAAATAAACCGTCATGACGATGTAATCACCTGGAAAGAAAGGAAGTGACAAAATGACAGAACACCATAGGCTTACTTGTTCAATAATTCAAGTGCATCCACCACCAATATATAACAACCAACAAGAGGTCCAGCTTAAATAATTCACAAGAGTTAAATACAAGGGCAGTGCTGAGGTTGATAGGTCAGACTGAAGACCTATATGCAATATTGGTGAACTGGCTATAATGCCAGATTTTAATTCGTAATTGTCGGTGTTCACAGTTGACATGAGACATGCAATATTTCAATACACTTAAGTCACAAATTTAGCAAGAAGCTGCAGGTGTAATCTTTGAAAGTCTTTGCATTTTTTATGTGCATAAGCAGCCAAAAACCTTTAAAAAACTAAAGATGGTGCACCAACTTAATATAAGGATGATCTAAAAACCCACAGTAGGTGCACTAATACAATACTGGTAAGAGATACATTTGGACAGATGAAGTAAAATGAAAGTATACATTGTGTTTTACCATATCGTTCACAAAACATTGACTTATTGCACAATAGAAAGGTATCCTGTTTAGTATACAGACCAAAGGGGTAAGCGATGTCAGTAACTACCTATTATGGTTGTATTTACACAGCCCATAAAATATTCATTTTAAACCCAAGTTAACCGAGGGAAAACCCATTACCACATTCAGATATAACGTGGCAGGAATGTGTGGGGTTAGGAAGCAATCCAATGCCGCTGGGATCATAAGGTGGTGCTTGGTCCACTGCATCACTGCTCTTGCACACGCACACAACTCCCACATCCTCTCCCACATCCTCACACACACAACTCCCAAATGCTCACTCACACACAACTCCCAAAAGTGGCCTTGCACACTGGTGGGGCCAGCACAGCCAATGCCGGGTCAGTACAAGTATGTGGTGGTGTGGTAATCTCTATGCACAACAACTTTTGTCTCCCCAATGCTGATGGAACCAAATCATGGCCATTTTAGAGGCCAAACAATCAAGTTAGGAAAAAAAATTACATTAATCATATACACATTGTTTATCATATCCAATACCATCATGCGTGGCTCTGATTGGTTGTCAAACGACGTTTTAATTCAATGGAGGCCGAAGCAGTCATCCAATTTATCGAAACCACTTTTTAAAAAAAACACAACACTAAAGAGATGTGCAAAGTTTTGAACATCAGAAAATATTTTAAGAAAACGTAAGTTGAGGAAGTGAAGATTTTTTTTAGTATTAGCCATTCAAGATGTGCTGACCATCATAATTGTAGAATGGCATAAAGAAGCCTACATAACAAAATTATGGACAACAATTAAATAAGATTTGAAGGGATATTACCAGAAAACACAGCGGGATGTTTTAACAAGTAAAAAATGTTAAAGGCAGATCTGGATAACGATTATGAAACCGATGTGAATGAGAGCAGATGATTTGGCACTGTTGGAAAAGCTCAAATTGACAACAGAAAGCTGCAAACCAACTGTGCCCAATCAAGAAGGCTTTCTAATAAAGCATATAACCTACATTGACACGAGATCAGCAACAGAAACACATGGATCAGAAATCAGGTGCAAATAGCAACCTGGCCACAAATGATAGGTCAATAAAGTGCCAAATACTATAAATGAACGTTTATAAATGTGGAACGAAAAACCGGAGGACCCAGAGAAAAATTTCCGCGACCACGGGGAGAACATGTAAACTCCAAATATACAGGTGTCAGGTCGGGATTGAACCCACGATCTCCTGTGGACTAGGTGAGGTAGTTAACATCTCGCCACCGCGACGCCATTGTGGGCTTGAGCAGGAGACACCACTAGAATAGCCGATGGCCATTGGACAAGACGAGCAATGGAATGGTCGCCAAAGGAGAGGGCGCTGTGGAGAAGCACAGTGGGAATGAGGCAATGCAATGGGTTTCAGGTGCAGAAATGAGATGGATCATGGCATTGTAAGACAGTGTGGAGAGGCCTTCATCCTGGGCAACATCTTTATGTATACTGGAGGAATCCGATGAGCCATAAAGCTCCTTTTTTGCACAGACATCCAGTGCAGATTGGTGATGGTGGGCCCCAGGACCAGTTCGAATATCGCTCGCCACCAATGTTGGCCGCGGCTACAAATAAAACGCAAGTGGTCGAGGTTTCAAACACAGTGGGCTAACCATTGCATCACCACTTCATCCCTGCATATAATTATAATCATATAAAAGTAACTGCATGACTAAAAATCCACCCCCTCATCCCAATACCCCCAGGTGTCAAGTGCTCATCACATTAAATAATAAAGGTCATCCTAATACAGTCACATGATTCTTATTAAAAAAAGAGTGATGTTGTAGTTATTGTATAATTTATAGGAAATTAGTTGTCACAGCCAGAAGAGCACTCACAATGATATGCAAACCACGAGCAACTTGAGCACCAATTTGCATGCATGTTTAAGGTACTTTGGAAGGATTATTTTGAATGGATAAATGTAAGGTTAGACGACAGTAAAGAATAATGTGCACCATGTTTAAACATCGGTTAACCATTATATTGCTGGACAATGGTGCAGCACAAGTTCAATAATGTACAGCGCGATCTGGCGTTAAGTCTGCTTTTAAAATGCGTTTTAATGTTAAATCTGATCGCTGTATTAGAGTAGTGCATTGTCATTGCTTTGAATACATTGCCCGGAGGAATGTGCATGATTAGCAGTTAACCACAGGGTAGATTGTGTTGAAAAATCTGGAACGGTCCCATGATGAACGGTCTTGTTATTAACGTGACTATTTCTGGTATCTATAAACGTATTGCTGAATTTAATATTGCGATTGTGCAAACATTTTAAATCTATATTAATTAGAGCAAAGTCGCAAGTCCAAATGCCCTTTCATATAGAATCATGTATTTGTAATCTCCTTCGGAAGCCCTTAGTCAGAGGTAAAAAATGCGATATTTCTATGGCAGTGCCAAGAATAATTTCAATATGCATTTAGTGCACATGAACGGTTATATTTTAAACACGTGCAATATAATAACTATTAACTTAGTGTGACCTAGATGCTGTCGGAAATTTAATTCCTGCACCCATCTGATTATATTTGTAGTTTATTGTACGCTGCTACATCATGATTGACAGGAGTTGGCCAATCCATTGCCAATGTCAAAGAGAAAATTTGAAAAATATTTGTAAAAATAAACTGCCATAAGGCAGCCTCAGCAACAGCATATCAGGCCAGGATGACATTTCCCTCGCTAACTGTACCCATTACTTCGGCCCCTCAAGTTTAGGATGCTGTTAATTAATAACACCGAAGAGTTCTAAATAAGTGCATAGAATATTCCGTATATGGCATGCACGAACACCTAGTTCGAGACCCAAAACCTCTAGGCTTTGACATTCCATCGAAGACACCGGTGGAACCATGAACCACCGCAAATAAACATGTCGCTGTTACGCATCTCCTCCATTGATGGGATATTAAAGACACAAGTCACGAGCAGTGCGATTATGGCCACCGCAGCCTCTTTAACTACGGGTCCCGCAAAGTAAACAACCCGTCGCCTGCCCTCCGTTTCATTGCGTTTGAAGCGGAGCTCGACGTGAGCACGCGTTCGCTCTGGAACCGTTGTCGCTGCTGCCCATCACGGCGCAAGAATGGACGCGACATCATTGCGCCCTTGCACAACATTGCACGGAGGCACTAAAAATCACGGTCGTGACAATTACCGTGCGTGCGACTCGGCCCCGCCCCCGCCGCCTTGACGTCACCGCGACATGATGTCACCGTCTCAGAGCCCCCCCCCCCCCCCGCAGAGCACGAGCGGGGCGCATTGTCCCCCGTGAATGTAAATGAGCTCGTGTGCGGATGATGGCGAAGCGGGGGGTGTTGACGGTGAACGTTTGCCACTGCCCCCGCGCTCTTTCTCTCCTGCGCTGCTGTTACATCCATCCCCTCTGCTCCAACCCACTCCAAGCGCGAGCTCATTTCATTAGTCGCGTCCCACACCTGAACGTTTCATCGCCTCGGGTTATATGCATTAGGCACGTTTAAATTAACTTTTAAAAAACGACAAATATTAATACCTTTGTAATGTACGCCTGTTCTAGAAATAAGCAATCACTACTTTTGCTTGAGCTCAAAGTTGCTGAATTAAGGTCTTACGATTGCGGAGCCTACTGAGATACGGGAAACAAAACCTAGAGCATATCGTATACATATGGCGCCTCAAATGAAACGAATAGAGCTGCATCCTCCTGCGGGTGAACTAAAAATAACTCTCCCCCTGTGATGAGTCACAGAGAATTAATGTAGATGGACAGTGGCTTGGCTGATTAAAGTACAACCAGGCATCAATCATAAAGAGCAGGTAACATGTATAGATTAGCTGCTGCGTAAACATAGAGCAATATTCCTATTTTTGTAATGTTTAATAACCGACAAACAATCCTTATTTAACCATTAGACAGCACATTTAAATGCCATATTCCTTTTTCATGGAACAGCCGAAACAAAAACTCTTTGAGGAATGGATACTTTATTCGCAGACAAGAGAGTTGAAGTTTGTTTGGTTGGATGACCACGTTTGTTGAATGGGCAGTGACTTCCTTATGCATTCACGTTTGAACGTTATAATTTCACGGGGTGTGTCCACTTTACAGATCATGCTTCAGAGTTGTTTAGGCGAAACTAAGAGAGATTCATCTTAATAGTTTATTACATGAGTGCAATTAAATTGTTTGAATGTTTAACGTACGTTGTATCGCAACTCTTCTCGTTGAAGTTGTGTCATGAAGTGAAAAAGGCCTTCCGGGGAAAAACAACAACTTCAGGCAGCACGGCGTTACATGTCAAGGGAATGGCTTTTGAAGCCACCGCCAAAGAACTTCAATTGGCCTCTCTCAGGCAACGCTACTACGCGGTGCCCTTTCTAGTGCTTTAGAGGATGGTTTGGCACTTATCAGTCACAGGGTGCACGCAGTTGGTCCACCCCGACACCGGGCGAGGCTGAGTCGAGAAAGAGGTACG